TCTTTTAAAACTTTTTCTTAAATTAAAAAAACCTTGCAAAGACTATATAAACCTAGCTTGACAAAGTCTCCATGCTTCTAGGTAGAATAGGATTAGGCTGAAAATAAAGCTATCTCCTACCTTCAAGTATAACCTACAGATATAGGAAAATGCATTTCAAAACTGAAAATACTCACACAATTTTCTAACAAATCCTCACCCAATGCACATGGGTTCCTAATACATCCATTTAAAACTAGCAAGAAATAGCAGGCCACAAAAGACAACATGGTAAAAAGAAAACTGTACTGAGTTTAGGGAGCAGATTCATACTCTGGTCCTGTTAATGACTATGTCTACCTGGGTGACCTAGACACCAGGTGGGGGTGTCCCTGAACCTATCTCACTCTCTGTTGCCAGATCTAATCAATCCAGATCATTCTTTAAGTTCCTTCTCCTAAATTCTGGCTCTATAATTTTGAGTGCCCCCTTTATTTACCCAGTTAGATCTGAGTTCTATGTTACCATAGTAACCTAATACTATTGCTTGGGCATGAAAATAGTTGCCTTATGATGTGAATGTCCCTGTGGTAAAATGTAAGTTAGAAGTTAAAGACAACAAATGCAAGCACCATGTGTGCACACATGCATGTGTGCATGTGCGTGCACGTACACACACACACACACACACATGCACACACACACAGTAACATGGTAGTAGAAAGAACCTGCTTGGAGATTTGAGCAAGACATACCTGTTTTGGATCTAGACTTCACCACTGATGGGACCTGAGATTTTGAGCAAGTTGCTCAATCTTCTTTTGCAAATGAGCATAATAATGGCATCTACTTCATGGGATATGTGATGATTTAGTGTTACAGTACATCAAACAAGACTAAAAAACAGTAGGTACTCACTATCAGTGTCAGCTCTTATTAGATTATTAGTAGCTATTCCAATTATCATCTTAGTGTGTAATTACTTCAATCAGTTTGCTCCCTCTCTCCTTCCACCTTCCCAAACAGATAAGATCTGAGAGAAGACATGTAACCTGCCCCCAAAAGTTCACAGCTTATAGGGGGAAGAGATAAATAAATCTAATGTGGGGCTGGGGTGTAGCTTCAGGAGTATAGCATATGCTTAGCATGCATGAGGCCCTGGGGTCTATCTCTTGTACCAAAGGAAAAAAAAATTCCCCCAAATGAAAAACACCTCCAATGAAATGGAGAACTGTAATAGATCTATTTTACACAGAGTGCCATGAAATATAGTAAACTTTGCTAGAAAGGGCCATATCTTGTACCCCTATGTATCTTATAAAAATATTTGTTAATGTGAGTGATGGAGTATTTCTAGAATGTTGTCTTAAGGAATCCCAACAAAGTTATTGGATTATAAGAGAAAGCACATGAAACTGAGGCCCCTTTAGGTTCTTTTGGAACAATCCTTTGAATGAAGTTCAAGATTAATCTTTCTTATTCAGGATTCCACTCCCTAGCAAATGGTGGTACAGTGTAATTCTGGAATTATAATAAATAATCATTATTATATACACAGAAAAGATAATTACTTGGGCCTAGTTGGGAGTTAAAGAAAATGTTCAGATTGAGAGACATCAAAGCAAAGCTGATTATCTTGGTAACTGAGTTCACACCACAAATCTGACGTAAGATTTGAAAGGAATTTATGATTCATTATGTGCTGGCATTAGTTCAAGAAGAGAGCATTTTTAGATACTTATTAATATAACAAAAAAAGACAGTTTTTGCATCTCAGTGAGATGATTACAATATATTTGGCCATTGCCTGCACTAATATAACACACCTGAGAATCAGAGTCACCTGAACAAGTCCTACTACCACAGTCTAAATTAACAATTCCTACTTAAGCCTTCTGTATCTGGGAAAGGCTCTGATTCTTGTTTTCTCCTTTTTTTTTTTTTTAAACTGACAGACTGATGGGAGGAGAGAGAGGGAGAAGAATGTCATAATCAAAAGGAACAAACTAGACTTCATTATATCCTGTTGCTAAGTACTTATTTCTTTCTGACATAATGGCACTATCACATACAAATAATTTTCATTCATCCAGCCAGCCAAGAGCCACAAATACTGAACACACTCTCTGTGTACCTGGTAAGTGCTGAGCTCACAAAGATTGCCCCTTCTCTTAGAAAGTTCTCTAAAGGTCAAGAGTCCCCTGTAAACACACCTCCCTCCTCAGACAGGAAGCACACCACCATTGACCAGTTACAAATAGGCTAAGAAAGGAGGCCCAGTGGCTGCTTTGAGAGGCATATGACCTCACAGGGTCTCCTCCTGGCTCAGAGGATTGGAAGACAAAACCATATAGTAAACCACCCAGCCTGTAGTGTCTGCTTTCTTTGTTGCCCAGTAGTTTGTCAAAGATTTAAATACATACGGTGATCTAAATTTATATACAAGTTTAAATTGCAGAGTATTTGAGCTGGAAAAGTGAAAGTGATTATCCAACCCAGCTCCGCATTCTTTTTACTTGAAGATCAGAAAGGCAAAATAATTCACTCAGAGGACAGAGCCAGGAAAGGGGGAGCCAGGACCAGAACCCAGGTCTTCTTGCCTCTGCTTAGGGCTCCTTCCAACATGTCATGCTGACCCAGGAAATATCAGCATGCTGTCTGCAGGAACAGAGGACCATTCAAAATCTTTGCCAACTGGTCTAGTACAGACACTGAGTAACCACTACGGAATGGCAGTCGTACATGGCAGTGCTGTCTTATGCATGAATATAAGCAATGGTTATTGCTACATCCATAGCTACCTAGCAAGGGTTTCAATTTGTAACTTAATCATGGTGGCCATCAGTGACATTTGCCAACTGCTTCATTTCCTTGGAGAAAATTATGCACTTACACTATAGCATCTCTAGTCTGTTGCCAACCCTATAAACAGGTAGGAAGAGAGACTGAAAGTGTGTGTGAGTGTGGTGGTAGTACATGCAGACATCAGAGGACTGTTGCATGGGAACAAGATGACAAAAGGCTGATTGCTGTTAATGTGCGTTCATCTGGCACAGGCAGCTGAAAATGTACACTATGATTAAAGGCCTTATCCAAATCATAGCTGTGGCCCTGAAACGGACACTGAGCGTGGGTGGAGGAAGCAAGGTAGGACAAGAAGCTCCTCTTTCCCAAGCCTGGCATCAAAAGAATTGGACTTAGGAAAGACCTGCTAGATCACCTCTTTCCTGGGCCAGCAGCAGGGTGAACACTGAAGACTACCAATCTCAGGGTTTCAAAGTGAGTCACAAATTCCCCTATTCCCTCAGGGAGATGCTACTTCAGAAGAGCATTCCTGTACTTAATGGAAGGAAGAGCTGGCTTATCTCCCAGATGATGCTCAGCATTCTGCTGTCCTTAAGTGCTGTGTGACCTAACCTCAGTTTTCTTGCATGCAGAATGGAAGATAGCACTGCATAAGATACGTGATATATAGGGAGACGGTGATGTGAGAGATAAGACCATGTCCTAAGGCAAAACCATGAAGTCACTTTATAATGGACAACATCAGAGGTATATAAAGTTATCTGAAAGGAACATATAGGTACCAGGACAGCAGAACTTGAAATGTAACATAACTGAAAGTAAACAAAGATCATGTCAGACAAAAGTGTATGTGCTTTGGATGGTGGGGAGATTTTAGTACTAGCAGTCATGGAAGTACAGAAGCCAGAGTCTTGGAGGAAAATGCTAGAAAGGTCTGTTGGACAGACCCTAGGAACAGTATCCACCCATCAAGGCCACTACAAACATCCAGTGGACCCAATGGAGGTCAGCAAACATTCCGCTCACGTACTTAGCCAACTTTCCCCACTGCTGGGCCCACTGAGCAATACTCTAATAACTCGCCTTTTCACATCATTTGCCTCCATTTGAGAGGAAATGTGCTTGTCAGGATAATGAGAATACCTGGTCTAAGAGACTTTTCTATGTCTCAAAGTGAATTAAGACACTGTTGATCCAGTTTATACATCAGCCTCTTTTGAGCTCTGTCAATGTGAGTTAACATCCTGTAGCCTAAAACTTCAAGCTGATGAGTCTGAGTTTCTTGGTTTGAAAGGCCGACAGCTCAGTTCCTGGCAATGAAGGGGCAGGTCAGTGAGGAAGTGACTGGCCAAGAGAAACACCTATAAGGACTGATAAAAGGATAGGTGACAATGAGTGTGAAAGCATCTTGTTACCTGGAAATTGCCTATAAATGGCAATTATGTTGGTATGTATGGGTGCTGCCTCATCAGTTTCCTTCACATGAAGGGCTGAATAAAGCCATCTGACTCGTGGCAAAAGCCAGTTTCCCTGGATCACAAGCTCAGGTTGCCTTGGCCCTTTCTTTCCTCTGAGGATCTCTTGCTCAAGTTAACATTGTTAATGTTCATATTTTTAAGCTCAGGGTCTTAATAGACATCAATTTGCTTCAGGAACTCCTGAGAGGACAATATTCTCAAGATTGTTCCATGGCTACCCACCGTGTGCACACAGGTAAAGGGGACAGTAATAATCCCCAGGGCAGCAGCAAGTGTAATGGGACACAAGGATGCATGGGGGGCGCTGCAGGAAACCTGGGGTGAGGCCGAGGGTTATACAAGCGACAGAAGAGGATAACTGCTGAGGGAGCCTCCTCTTGTCCATTCCCCACTAAACCTGACACAGGTTGAATATCCCTTATACAAAATGCTTGGGAGCAGGCAGACGTGATGGTGCATGCCTGTAATTCTAATGACTTGGAGTCTAAGGCAGGATGATCACAAGTTTGAGGACAGCCTGGGCAACCCAGCCTGACTCTGTCTCAAAATTTTAAAAATAAAAGGGCTGGGGATGTAGCTCAGTGGAAGAGTGCCCTGAGTTCAGCCAAGAAAGAAAGAGAAGACCTCATCAGATAAAGGGGTGATTATGTCCAGAGAATATTCTAAAAGGAAAAAGTATCCCACATCCACCTTCCCCAGTCTCCTCTTCACCACAGTTTCTAGTTCAGAGCCACTTACCTTTTTCTTCTTCTTCAGAATCACTTTCACTCCATCCACTGAAACCATAATGCTCACTTTCTTCTTCTTGATATTCTTGGCTTTAAACTCATACTGCAAAGGAGAAGAGAAGAAAGAAACAGAAACTGATTAGACCAGTGCATCTTCAGGACCCCAGCTAGCCCACAGAGTGCCACAGGCAGTCCCAGGGGACTGGTGCACTTCCTGGGCACAGGGAGAACCTCAGGGAATCTTTTTAGGTAGACGTCTTTTTTTTTTTTTTTTAAGGTAGATGTCTGTAGGCAGGGGCTCTCAGGTAGTCCCTAGGTTAGAACAGGGACCTTAAATGGTCATCAATCCCACCACCCAGCCAACAGCTCAGACCAAAGGAATGACTCATCACAATGAGATTGACCTAATACATCCTACTGAAATGAATATACAACCTGTTTTGAAAATCTCATCAACATATCAGAACCTTCCCTCCATAACTTATTCTATTATTTAATGACTTTGTCAGGAAAGAATTCCTTGTGTCTAACCAAATGTTGCTGGAACTCCATTCTATCCCTGGTGAAGATTAAGAAGAACTGATACCAGTCTTCATATCAGGGCTTTTCACATATAAAAAAATAATTATGAATTTTTTGGGGGGTTGGAGGCAGGAACTGGGGATTGAACCCAGGGGCACTTTACCATGAGCTACATTCCCAGCCTCACTCCTTTTTTTAAAATTTATTTTAAGACACAGTCTCACTATATTGCCTGGGTTATAAATTTGAAATCTTCCTGCCTCATCTTCCCAAGTGCTAGGATTACAAGTATGCATCATGGTGCCCAGCCCACCCCTCTATTTTAAATTCACCTTTGCAGTTCTGGACAGGCTACTCCAACTGCAGCTCTGAACTCCTGAGGAATGTAGCCCATCCACAATCCCATATCTTTCTGTTACATTTTGGCATTCATAGCCATTTCTCATACTTGCACAGCTTCTCATCACTGGTGGTCGAATTCTGACTTTTCCCACAGTGAACTTCATTCTGAGAAATTCTTCAGTTTATTAAAACCATTTTTTCCAGGTGCAGTGGCATACACCAGTAATCTCAGTAATTCAGAAGGATGAGACAAGAGGATTACAAGTTCAAGGCCAACCTCAGTAATTTAGCAAGGCCCTCAGCAACTTAGTGAGACCTTGTCTCAAAGTTAAAAAATGAAAAGGGCTTGGGATGCAACTCAGTAGTAAAACACCTTAGGGTTCAATCCCAGAAGGATGGGAGGGAGAGTTCTATGACCTGGTGTTTGGCTCTGGACAGGACTCATCCCACATAAAACAGTCCCCTTTAGGTCAATAGTGGGAGTATTGAAGGCTACAGTTGCTCAGATTAGCATGCGCTTGAGGACACCGCTCCAACTCACACTGTATGGCCTTGGATGTACCATTCTGTTCAACTCTAGTGCTGGATGAACTGAAATGCCCTCTAGGTGAAAGAACTAGAATGGCAATCTATGAATCCGCTGACCTTGGCCATGTGCCTACTGGAGAGGTGAACTAGCCACTTTTCCTGACCACACCCACATTTACTTCTGCTTTTTGGGCTTTCATCAACACTAATTTCCAGCTACACCTCCTTCAGAACAAGTCACTAAATCAAGGTTGCTCCTGTAACCAGTAGAGTGCAGGGGGGTGTTCCAATGAACTCCATTGAAGTTAAGAATGTAAAAGTCTGGAAATGCCCAGGAGGAGGACAAAACCTGCCTTAGATAGATCAGTTGCCAACTATTAACTATTTTGGTCTCTTCCAGAATGTCACTTTCACATGCTCCATACACTTCCCTCTTTCCCTTGTACAGCAACAAAAATCAAAGCAGAAATGTCAACTCTCTGCCTCTGCAAGGGACTATGTCGTTCTCCCCAGCCTGGGTTTTAGTGAGCAAATTGCCTGCTAAGCCAGACCCTCAAATGCCTGGTATTTCCAGAAGAAGCTTGTAGTTGACTAGACCTTTCTTTCTTGTTTGGTCCACCTCCCTGGTGGGTTCACTGTCTCCAGGACCTTTCTATAATCAAGACCCATCACCTAAGCCTGCCAAGAGGCACCCAGCCAACTCATTGCTTGTGTATCTGGAAACTTAACTATTTCTACAGGTAATGTTTTGCCAAGTTTGGCCATGCATTTAATACCTTCATCTTAAGAATTCAAAATGCAGCTAAACATTTTGTTGGAAACTGGAAAACAGTCTCTAATTCAATCACCAAGTACATACCCCCAGATAGCTCCCTGTAAAGGGCACAGTGACTACATAGAAAAACATGACCCAATTTTTTTCCCAGAATTTCAATAACAGTGATAACGCAGGTGCTCCTTACAACAGCTGGTGGAATGTTTCAAGATGAAGAAGATCGAGAAAGGCAGAAAGCAGATCTACAGGTCCTATCACAGCTGCCATTACTACCTGAGTGCTCTCTACAAGGACTCTTAGGTTAGTCACACTCTGCATCTATTCTATCTGCTTCCTGATGTCCCAAACCTCTTCCAGCTGCAGAATTAGAATCAAATTGCACTTTTGTTAGAAACACTGGACACAAAGGTACATCAAGTATCTGAAAAGGTTTAAATATTTATCATGAAGCCTTTTATTTCTATGGCAATTACACTTCACTTAGATGACATGATAGCATGTTATCATGCTCTTTAGGGGGGAAATGGGTTTGAAGAGAAGGGTAGCAATGCAGTAACCAGGAGAACATAGAAGAGAAGAGCTCTTAGGGACAAGTCCTCCTTTTTCCCAGACTGCTGCTCTGTCTGAGGTGGAGCACTGTCTGGGCAGGCAAGCTCGGGAGGAAGCATCTGTGTTTCTTGGGACACGAATCCAATCTGCTTAGACTTTGCCAGGAGCTGAAGAACAAACAGGACTGCTGGTGCCACCGTCTGTGGCCCATGCCAGCCCAGAGTATGTGCCAACAGGCCTGGCCCTCCACCCACTGGCCAGGCTGTTCTGATGCATTTGCTTTACTGGCCAGAGCTCTACCAGCAAGGGCAGAATAAGCCCTACAGATCTGACCTTTGAGGGAACAAAACAATACAAGTCCGGGAAGACCAACTACAGATTGGAAAGCCTACAAGTGTTTGGGATTCATAAACAGAGCCTTGGGGTCTTGTATTGAAATAGCAGCCATGGAACTTAGTGGCCTGTGCCAATCAGTGAAGCCCAGGAAGGGGAGACTGGGTAGAGGATTCAACAAGAGCCAAGATTAAACACTCAACAAGTAACATGAGCAGAAACGTTGGCTGGATGCCGGAAGAGCTGCTTCCAGACCAACAGCCTGGCTTCTGAGCATCTCCTGATTCCCACAACTCTCTCCTAACCCAACATGTCCCAGCTCATCACCGGGTATCTCAGGAGGGGCAGCAGAAAGTCTACAGCAGCAAAGTGGGTGAAACAGTTAAGATGGAGGTCTAATGAAGGGACCAGCCCAGGCCTGGGCCTCAAGCTGTATGCAAAAATAGAAGCAGAAAAATATATTTCTTAGAGAAGTAGAAGTTGAGGCTATCAGCGGCTAGACACACACACACACACAGAGACACACACACACACACATACACACACCCCACTGTGCATTTCCTCCAAAGAATCCCCAGATGTAGCTGTTACACACCTATAATCCCAGCAACTCAAGGGGCTGAGATAGGAGGACTGAAAGTTCAAGGCCATCTGGGCAACTTAGTGTGACCCTGTCTCAAAATTAAAAACAACAAGGGCTGTGAATATAGCACACTGTCGATCACCCCAGTTTCAATCCCCAGGACTGACCAAAAAAAAAAAAAACATACAAATTGATAAGAAGCTGATTTTTAAACAAAAATATATTTTTTTCCCACAGGAACCTTGGTTCCTCAATCACCTGGACTACAAATAATTTGGCTAGTGAGATACTTTCTCATCTGCTTCACAGGAAGCAGGTCCTCTCATTCTTCATTATGAAATTCACTTTTCCCTCACCCCTTTCTTCAACCAAGTACATCAACCTGGGACCATCTTATAAATGGTTTGTGAGAAGTCCTTTTGTACTTTAATTAAGAGCTTAATAACAGCTGGGCACAGCAGCTCATGCCTGTAATACCAGCTACTTGTCAGGTTGAGGCAGGAGAAACACAAATTCAAGGTCAACTCAGACCATTTAGTGATACCTTGTCTCAAGATAAAATATAAATAGACTGGGGATATATTTCAGTGATAGAGTGTCCCCAGGTTCAATCCCCAGTACCCCCCCACAAAAAAAAAATTAAATAGAGTTTAATACCTTACATACTAAGTTACAAAATCTGAGAACTGCCATGTTCAAGATAGCCAAAAGGTGCCCATTAATGGAAGAATGGACACACAAAATGTGATCCATACATACCACGGAATATTATTCAACCCTAAAAATAAAGGAAATCCTGACACGTGCTACAACATGGATGAACCCTGAAGATATCATGCTAAGTGAAATAAACCAGTCATTAAAGATAAATATTTTATGATTCTGCTTCTATGAGGTACCTAGTACTATCAAATTTGTGAAGACAGATACTAGTATGATAGCTTCCAGAGACTGACGGAAGGAAGTAATCTGCAGCTAATATCTAATGGGTGTGATTTCAGTTTTGAAAAAATTCTGGAGATGGGTGGTGGTAACAGTAATACAAAATGTGAATATATACTTAATGGCACAAAACTGTCCATTTAAAAATGGGTAAGACAATAAATTTTATGTTATGTATACTTTACCACAATAAAGATACAAAACCTAAAACACTGAACAATTAACACATTTCTGCTCCCAGTAACTCCACTTTAATTTTTGCAAAAGAATATTTCTGCAGCTCCCCAACATCCAAGTTAAACACGCCATACTTTTTTCTACTACCCTTTAATTGCATTTGTTAATCCCCATGGCTAGAATTCTCTGTCCACATCATCTGCTAGGGAACTCCTGCTTATTCTAGAAGTATCAGCTCAGGGTTCTCCACAGTGAGGCCTTCAGGGTCAATGACCTTTCCCACTTCCTCCCATGGAGTTGTTCTATCCAGTTGGTTAGTACCAAGTATGTGGGCCTCAATTATCACTCACTG